CGCCACTGCTACAAGTTCCTCGTTGGAGACTTGTCTACCTTCGGTGTTGTCTGCCTCTGCCTCGCCGTACGGTGTAGGTGGCCAGGTCATTTGGTCGTGCTTCGGGCAAAGTCCCTCTAAGATGACTTTCAGCTTGTCTGAGCACATTTCAACGGGCGTCGTTGGACCTCTAATCTTCGCCATCGCGACTCGGTATGCGTCACCCCAGGGGTTGGCATCAGCGTCTCGGCACAGCTCCTTGAAGCAGTTTGACTTGCTCAGCTTTATCTCCTGTTTTAGAGCGGCCTCGAAACACCACCCTTCGCTCTGCTCTGTCTGCATCAGTTCTTGTCCGCTGAACGCGCCAACTAGCGCGGAGGGTGCTAAGTGCCTCGTTCCACCAGTAAGCACCAGTACCTCGTCTTCCGTTGTGATCCAGATCCTTGCACTCGACCACTGACTCCTGCGATAAGGCTCTTACGTTCGCGTCCTCCCCAAGAGATTTTTCGACGAGTTCCTTGAAGGCTGAACTCCTCACCGACGGGTCCTTTTTCAGCTCGAAGAGCATCTCGCCTTTCTGGGTGTGCCTCTCCCTACGATGCCTGCGGTTTTCCTTCTTCTTGACTTCCTTCTTCCTGTCTGCCGTCTTCTTCTTCTTCTCTTCCTCTTCATTCTTCTTTCCCTTCTCCTCCTTCTTTTTCTGTTCCTTCTTCCTTTGTTCCTCTTCCTTCAGTTTTTTCCTCTTCTCCTTCTGGTTTTCGACTTTACGCCAATCACTGTCTTCTCCATCTTCTTGCTCATTGTCCCCGTATACGTCATCCTTGTGTTTTTGGGGTCCTCTTCGTCTCCTGGCGTTTCCCTATCTCTTTTCTCCGGACGTGGATTCGTTGGTCCCTTCGGCGTCTCCTGCGCTTCAGCCAGCTTTCATTCTCCTTGGCCTCAAGCAGAGCCTTTTCGGCCGCTTCGGCTCTTCTTCTCCATTCTTGCAGTTCCCGATCTGCCACAGCAATGCAGGATTTGATGACCGTCGCTAGTAGCTTGACCTCCTTGTGTATGTTGTTCTTATCCTTCACGAACACATAGAGTTCATCGATCTTCCTCCTAACCTCCGTCATTTTGGTTCTCCCAAGCTGCAATTCTTGCTGTTTGCCACTGCTGGATTTCGGTGTGAATATTTGGCATGGCACCGCTCTCCTTGGGATCCATGCTGTTCCACTTGGGGTATGCTACTACTGGAACTCGCTGTAGTCACCTGGTTCGACGCTGGTGATCTCTGCAACTTCCGCTTTACTCAATGTGCTCTTGAAATGAGAAGCTTTTGAATTTGCTAACGGTGGCAGAAAAGCAGCAAAAGACAAATTCACATTAACACTCCGAATACGGTGGGTAAAATACTTTACGCCGACTACGAAGCCTCCGAAAACGTGTAACAGCAAGTTTGCAATAGCATAACTTAGCAATTTCTTAATGAATTTCAAAAATTGTGGTACTTCTAAAATTCCTAGGGTCTGTAGATTATTTTGATTGTAAAAAGATTAAAAATAGGGTCGTCTACTTTATTCAAAATCGAAAATAGTCGTTACACGTTTTTTTAAAAGGATCCTAATGCTTTCGAAAAAAACCACGGATTTCTAGGATCAGTTTCATGGATTGACCATTTTCAAGGATGTTCCAGATCTTCCAGAGGACGGTCCCATGGTATTCTAGGCACATGTTTATGTCATGACCCTTAATTAATTTATATATGACACTTCCACGTGTTTTCGAAAAAAAACCGTTGGGCTCTAGGATCAGTTTCATAGATTGAACACTTTTATAGATGTTCCGGATCTTCCGGAGGATGGTCCGATGGCCATCCGGGTCCATGTTTATGTCATGAACCCAAATTATTTTTTATATCACAGTTCCTAATGTTTTCGAAAACACCGCGGAGTTCTAGGATCAGGGGTTTATGGATAGACCACTTTTACGGATGTTACGGATCTTTTGAGGACCGTTCCGTTATATCCAGGTTCTATATATAGGAATCATGACTGTATTCTGGCTAATTATGAACATTTGTGCCCATTAATCTAATTTATGGATCTTAGGCCACTTGCAAAACCCATAAACACACCTTTAAAAAAAAACGTGTAACGACTCTTTTCGCTTTTGAATAAAGTAGATGACCCTATTTTTAATCTTTTTACAATCAAAATAATCTACAGAACCTAGGAATTCTAGATTTTTTGATTTTGATTTTGATTTTGATTTTGCGAGACAGAAGGGGGTCTTATGAAGGCCAGATCTCAAGTCTCAAGGCCAAATTCCAGAACTTGAGTGGAACATGGTTCTCACGTCAGACTATAATGTCTAAAATGAACCACATGCCCCAACCAACCCCTAGAACGGCTCCCATACACTCTCCATGCTGAATCGTGAGTCCCCCCTTTTCCCATATCATTACATGCAAAATAATAACCCGATGCAGGTCAATTGAATATGCCTAATTGAATTAGTTGCAATGATAGTGTTAACAGTAATGACAGTATAATATAGTAATTTAATAAAATGAATATTTACCTGTTAATAATGATCGAGGTTGGTGAAAATATTTAAAATAAATAAATTCATTCTTACTTTTTTATGGTTGTTTGATTATTAATTACTATTATTACCTGCTTAGAGTTAGCTCCTTTAAAATACTGTGTAGAATTTACCTCATTATTCCTCAGTTCTATCGATTTGTGATAGAACCACGCTCAGCATATTATCCTGTAGTACGACTTGGGCATGCACCATGCAAGTAAGTCATCTCTCGTCAAAATGATGGGATATGGGGTGCGAAGGGATGAAGGGATATAGAAAACGAATAAAAGAACAGAAAGAAAGGTATTAGTATTGGTTACATTAACCACCCCTCCCCCCCCCCCCCCACACACACACACACAACGAAAAAGAAACATAGATGCACAGACAAACAGAAATAACACATTTAATATTTTTCTCCACAAAACATAGTCACTAAAACACTACCGCCATCTGTTGAGTATCATGTGATGGATAGTACGCTGAACAGATGGCGCTAGTGTGCAAACGTCAAACGGAAGGGAACCGACCGTGCGCGCCACAGGTGGCGGCACCACCAACCAAAAACACCCGAATTGACCGTCAAATGCGTATTCGATGAACAACCTGTCCAACCGAGTGTTATGTCTGTTTGTCTGTGATAGATGGGTTATTAGGAAAGTACAACTACATTATAACTATTAGTGCAATGGATGAACGTTAGTTTCGGGGTCATGTTAGTGTTAGAGTTTTGTTAGTATTGACCCGTATACAGCCCTGTCGGCCCCTCGAACACTAGTCGCAGGCAGTTGTTGTTAGGACATGCGACACTGTAACTGCTACTATGTTAGAGGTATGACCCGTCAAGTTTCGAAGTGCAAAAAAAAAAAAAAAAAAAAAAAAATGGTAAGAACTTTCTTATAAATTAATTTTACACTCAAAGCAAACTATTTACCTTAGCATTACAAAATATTAAAATTATGATAAAACTACAATTTACGGCTCCGTGAAATTAACTCGCATGAACCTTTCAAATCAATGAACTGGAGAAAAACTACAATTTTATCAAATTGCAAAAAAAAAATCATAGCGACACTTGACAAATCATCATCAAGCCCCTCATCCTTGGACAGGGATCTACAGAACCTAGGAATTCTAGAGGTACCAAAATTTTTTAAATTCATTAAGAAATGGCTAAGTTATGCTATTGCAAACTTGCTGTTACACGTTTTTCGGAGGCATCGTATTCGGAGTGTTAAAGAAAATGTCACGCCTAAATAGGTACCAAATTGACATTATACACTGAACGCATGCCAGAGACCTTGTAAAATAGCGCAAGGCGCCGAAATTCGTCCTTACCTTCCATTGTTCTGGGTTGTCCAATAAATGTAAACAAAGACGATATTAAAATTGACCACCAAATCCGTCCGCCGTCATCAGGTCACGGGTAGCATCCGCGCTTCACCGCATCCAACCCACCGACGATGAAGTGTTTCAAATTTCGCTAAATTGATGATCGTCACCGCCCATTCCCATGACTCGAACGCGGAGAACAATGTAGTGTAGCTACATACCAGCAAGAGCGGTCACGAGCCAGCAAATACAAACAAGGGTCGTCCGACAAGAAAGGAAAATTATCATATTTTGGCTATTTCGTCACAATTAGGTACACAGGTGATTTTATTTTTCGCACCGCAAACATGGTTAGGCATATCGGCCGAATCTATTGTTTCGTTCCGTCGTCATCGTTGGAGGGTTTGCATCTTTGTTTTCTAATTTGGTTTTACGATCATCTACGCGTCTCATTTCTTCTTTTCTTGGTTTCATTTTCGGGGGATTTAAGTTTTCTGCGATGACCTTGACTCAATGATGGCATGAGAGCCATTCAGAGTAATTTTGATTTATTCCTCCACCGTTTCATGGATACTGTTGTTCTTGTTGTGTTAATCGGATGGGGTTAATTATATTCTAACATTACCTGAGATGATACAGGAATTCACAGTTAGATCAATTTCACTTTATCTCGGCACCGTAGTGCTCCCTATCGTGATATTTATCTTACCTACATATCAAACGATGTAACTATCTAACACAAAAACATCCGCTCCTTCACGGAACAATCACCAGGGATGTAATTCAATTATGACAAGTTCAAGATTATTTTTCTCTACTTACCTGAGCGACAAGTCTGAATAGAATCACTTTACTTTAAGCGCCTGTTAATTATAAAAGCAAATTAACACTATTCGTTACGCTTAGTGCCGACAAGTTTCGCGCGATTTCTAACATTTAAGCTTCGTTAGGTTTGTTTCTTCTTCTCTGGCCAGCTCCAAGCAGAGCAATAAAGAATATTACGTTACGATCATCAGCGGCATCAAGGTTCAGAAGGAGACACGCATTAAACATTTTTCTGCGCCTTGCATATCCAACACGTTAGAGGGCATTTTCGGATCAAACAACGGATTCGCAAACCATTTCCTGGAAAATAATGCAAATTTATTTACGCACTTTTTTTCTGATTCACTTACGAAACCACCGCATGCACTTTATCTACAATTGTACGTGATACATACGATGTTCAACTGGTAGCAACGAACGATCGACTCGATCGGATAATATGGCAGATATAAAACGGTTTGAGTTTGTATTGAAATAGAGAACAGATGAAAAATAGGAAACCACTGCAGCATGCGTATCAATATCAATAGTCAACCAGCTTCTTCACTACCTTAGGTGATCTATCCCTGCGATTATTACCGGCACTGGGTTTGCTTCTCGACTTGGACCGAGATCGTCGCGTTCGGGAGCGAGATCGACGACGATCCCGAGAGTTCGAGCGTGATCTTCGACGATAGTAACGACTGCTCTCGCCGCGTCCGTAGTCTCGGGAAGGTTTGCCACCGAAACGACCTCGATCGCGATCACGATCTCGATCTCGATCACGGTCGCGAAACCTTTCCGGAGACCTCGATCGCGAGCGATAACGTGTCCTCGAAGCGGGTGGGGCAGGAGGAGTTCGTCGCCTGGGACGATCGTCATACCGCCTGCTGATGCTTGGAGCAGCCGTACTGCGGCCACCCGTGGCAGAAGATCGCGATCGGCTGCGACTTCGGGAACGCCGTCTTGTGCTTCGAGCCGTACTCGGTGATCTAGAAACCTCCGCTTGAGCGAAACGGCGAAGGACAGGTTTTCGCTCGATGACGGCACTAGTGCTGAAAGTGGACGTCGTTGAAGTTGATGGGGGCGGCTTTGGTGGAGGAGACGGTTCTTTAACCGGTGGTAACCGAGACTCCTTATGCTTTTCTTCATCCGAACTGTCGACTGATTTTGAAGGACTCTTCTCACTTTCCGGTGATCCATATTTGTGACGTAGTTCACGTTGTCTGTGGAAAAACGCAAATGGTTACAGTGAACCTAATGAGCACTAAGAAGGACAAAGCATTTTTACCTTCGTCGCAACTTGAGGGCCAACTCCCGCATTTCATCCTCACGTTCCTGCTGTTGTTGGATCTGGCGTTCGACCTTTTCAATTTCTGCCTTTTTATCAGCTTTGACTAAAATGTTATGGCAAATATTAGACCTGTCCGCCGAGCAAAACTGCCAATACTCACATTGCTTGTTAAGCAAAATTTGCATTTTGCGCTTCAGCCTGTCCCTAGGATTAAGTGACTTTGATACGCCAATAGAAGACGCAACCCCGGCCTGAAATCATATTCGAACAAACGAAGATTACACAAACATTGGTCGTTGATAAGCGTTGCCTCAAGATTCTTGACTGTAAATTCTTTTCTCTAAAAGTCATGTCGGTAAATGAAGATTCTACGGCTGCAAATGCTTAGAGTTCGTAAAACACCGTGAATCACTCGAATTTTAATTCTGTAATCGGAAAATTCTTTGCACCCAAAACAACCCTGCCATTGATTTAAAAAAAAACATGATAACCAAAACCAAACAATACACAAACCACTAGATGCTAGTCTTCTTTCTTGGAACGTATTCATTGCGTGTAATTTTCGAACAATGCCAACCAATTTCAAAACCAACCACCCCCGCGAACAACGGTGGGTGGGTGCGGAACAGTGGAAGTAACAGTGATACTTGTCGTTGCCGGAGTAGGTAGTAGGTGGCAGTAGTTGTTGTAGTACTTGAGGTATGAGGGAAGAGAGCTAATGATATTTGAATTATTCTTACTGACTTTGGACTCGGATGTGTCGATCACTGTGCTACCACCAAACCTTGCCGCCAACGATGACGATAATAATGTGGAAGCAGCAGCCCCTTCGAGTTTCTCCTGCTTGATGGTCACTCCTCCGGGGAGTGCGATACCCGATTGATCCGCTGTTTGTAAACTGTAATGGATGGATACTTGTGAATAAGAATATTGGGTACTGAAATTGGGAGGACGGATATTTTAGAATAGAGTTCTGGGTGGGATTGGTCAACGTGGATTTTCGGTATATTCAAGTGATCTTTTGCTTTTCATTCAACAGCCACAATTTGCCAAACGCTATAGATAACGGTCTTGCATCGTAGGAGCCGCTGTTTGTTACAAAGACATAGCCTGGTTTCGAAATAGAGGGGGAATGGGGCAAAATCAGAAATCCCTTGTAATTTACCGAAATAAGGAGGGATACTCTTAAAAATAAACGGGCAATGATATAGAATGCATCTAGCTAAAAAATATTGGACAAAATTTCGTGACATTTTTATTTTATGATCAAAATCTGAGTGGGACTGACTTGCGATTACATTGAATGTCAATGAGAAAAAATAACCGCATGTCAGTCACAATGCCATGATGATGCTGCATTAGTTTAGCACAGTATTGAACGGTAGAAGGATAACATGGTCCCGAAGAATTTTATTGGATGCAGTTTCGTCCAATAACGCTAACATGTTGTATGGCCAAAGTCCTAGAGTGTATGGTCAATCGAAGACTGAAGCAACACCTCGCAGCTGGAAATTTCCTTTATCACCGACAGCACGCTTTCCGACAAGGTTTCGGAACGTCCACCTATTTCGCAACCCTAGGGGAAGTTCTCAAGAACGCCTACGACAGTGGTCTGCACACCGAGATAGTATCGCTCGACATATCGAAGGCCTTCAACAGAACGTGGACGCCCTTCATCCTTAAGCAACTAATCGACTGGGGTCTTAACGGACCCATCGTTCACTTCATCCAGAACTTCTTGGCCAACCGCTCATTCCGAGTCGCAGTCGGCAACACCAAATCCCGACTTTTCCCCGAGGAAACGGGTGTCCCACAAGGATCGGTTATCGTCGTTACCTTGTTCCTCGTGGCAATGAACGGAGTCTTCCGTCAACTACCGAAGAACATATTATATGTTTTCGTCTACGCCGACGACATCCTCATCGTCACCACCGGACCCATACCGTACGTACATACAGTACGTACTGTAGTGTTCGACCAACCGAGTGAAACCAGTTTTGCTATTGGACGACCAAACTGTTATACGCAGGCTTGAAGTTAGAATAAAGTTCTTGTCCTGTCTCTTTGGTTTGTAGACAGTAAGGAAGACAGACGTATTTTACCTACTAGTGATTCATCCGATCGTGAGCAAAGTACGGGAAGCTTGGGACGTAGAGTGGGCTCAAAACCGCTCCCTCTTCATCAGACGGATCAAAGGGACGACGAGGAAATGGACAGAACAGTTGAACCAGTGGGATCAGAAAATAGCGTCGCGTTTGAGGACCGGTCACACCAAGATCTCGCACAATTTCGGTGGAATGCCGAAAGCCTCAATCGAGCACATTCTATGCGTGTGCCCTCAGTATCAGAACCTGTGGGAATTCCATGGGCTTCCAAATAGCATACGCGACATGCTGGGTGATGATCCCTCTACACTGGCAACAGTAATGCGCTTTTTAAAGGATGCTGTATTGTATTTTTAAGTTTAGTCTTTTTTAATTCCTTTAGACTGTTGGGCCCTCCCGGGTCCCCCGGTGTGAAGCTTTGTCTTATTCAGATTTTAATGTTGTGTCTTTAATATGTTGTGTAAATTTACGATCGAGCCAGGAACCAATTTACGGTTTAAGTAAATACTGTAAAAAACTACTCAGTTGGGGGTCCTCCTTCTGAGGCCCCACCTTTCATGGACGAGATAAACTAGCCTACGGCTAAAAATCTAAAAAATAAAGTCTAAAAAAAAGTTATTGGATGTTTCTGGATTCGTTCCGCTGGTTCCAGAGCAATGGGCGGAACATATTCCGATGCGGGAAATGGATGTAATGTTGGCCTAAATGCCCCTAATTTGGGCCCATACATAAATTCAGCAATCGACTAAATTTTCAATAGCGACCAAAAATATCCATTAGTACCGTCCCAATGACGCGTTCATCTGGATAAAATTGATAAATAGCAGATTCTTAGCGATGGGCCCAATCTTAGATCCATAGGCCAACATTAGAGCCATTTCCCCTACATGCTAGGTTTGAAAAGAATATTTTCGAACCTGGAAGCGTGTATGTATAACCATTATCCATTTGATAACGGTGATGCATACAGGCGGGCTTATAGTGAGTGAAAGTGACACACACAATGTTCTTATTTTTTCGTCCTGCAATTTATTCAGCCGAATAAACATCGGAAAATCGCACATTCAAGAGAACCGGTGCTTCTTCTTCTTTCTGCTTTATTTCTTTATTTAACGTCGGTCTCTGTTCCGCAATCTAGTGCCAATCACCGACGGACATCGATTGCCATCCATTGACGGCAATCGAATGTGCAGGAAGGCAGAGCTTCCACAACACCTGGCGTAGAATATCGCATCCATTCAACACACATGGGCCGAGACCAACGGCTTTACTTCCCTTTCGAAGGAAGACGTGACTAGAGATTTGTATGCCTCAGAAAAATCCAACCGACCTCGGCTGGGATTGAACCCAGACCCATTGCGGTGTTAGAAAGCAGTCACATTTACCACCACATCACCGGCGCCGGCAATTATTACTCGATAATGGTCAGTTATTGCCTGATGTATCTGTGATTTCCAGTAAATCTACTGGCGGAGGAGTCCTTGTAGCTGTCTTTAACGGGTTGCAGGCAATGGCCTTCGAGAACGTTTCATGGAACAATGTTGAGCAGGTACTCCTGAATCCCTCGAGGCTAAACGATGCGTCTTCGTTATCCCCGAATGGTCCATCTGCTCATTCGGAACACACCGTAGATGTTTCCACGATTTCCAAGAATAATGCTGCTACCTCTACTGCTTCTGGACCACCACCATCACCACCGAGACGCATCGTGGATAGCACTGTGGAAGCCCCTGATTTATCTGCCTCAGTCGCGCTTATTCCAGCCAGCGCTCTGCATAGTCGTCTCGGCCCTGAGTGTAGATGTAGGTCGGGGGTCTTCCAACCAGCTATTACTGGCAAGTATATTGACGATTCATCCTCTCCTTTGCCTGATACCGCTTCAACTTCTAGCTGTGTTTCCGGTTCTGCGAACCTCCACACTAGCCACATCATGTCCCTAAAACAGGCACTGAGGCAGCTTCCGAACCTCCCGACCCAGTCGCGCTTGCTGCATACATCCCGGTCCTGTGGTCGGTGATGGAATCGGAGGCTTCCAGCCTGCAACCTCAGGCGAGTATGTTAGCGATTCCGCGCTTTCGGTACCTGATGTCCTTTTGATTTCTAGTTCCCGTGATTGCTCCTCGAATGGTCTCCGGATCTACTACCAAAACGTGCGTGGGCTGAGGACTAAAATCGACTCGTTTTCCTGGCTGTTGCGGAGGCCGAATATTGTTTGATTGTGCTGACGGAAACGTGGCTGAACGACCGAATTTACTCATCGCAACTTTTCGAGTCACTCTATTCCGTCTTCAGAACTGACCGGTCTGCCCTAAACAGTCAAAAATCGCGCGGTGGCGGAGTCCTGATTGCAGTATCTACGAGACTAGCCAGCTACGTAAGTACGTCACCCATTTCCAGTCAACTGGAAAAGCTGTGGATTGTCGCAAAGCAAGCTTAGTGTAGGCGCAATCTAACTGCATCCCGACCGCAAAAACGACTACACGATCATCCCGTGAGCATGTGGAATCGTTAGGCTCAATTCCGTCACAATTAAGTCCCTGCTCTCCCGCTTTCGTATTTGGTGACTACAATCAAGCTGGTCTGCAGTGGCGCTTTACAGACAGTGGCACACCATTAATTGACATCCACTGCTTTCGCATATGCCGGTTGCTTGCTGTGCTCTTTTGGACGGGTTTAACTTTTACGGGTTTACACAAGTGAATACTTTTCCGAATCGAAATGGTCGTTTGCTAGATCTTGTCCTGGTAAATGATTCCGCACTACCGGGCACTTCTGTTTCCTTGCCGGTCGAGCCATTGATTGATCTAGATGCCGATCATCCCGCTCTCGTCGTGTCAGTTAGTTTACGCCGATTCTTTTTACGCCGTCATTGAGTGCTACTCTTTGGACTTTCGCCGGGCCGATTATGTTGCATAGAACAATGCGCTTACGGAAATTGATTGGCTATTTATAGAAACAGCCGCTAGCGTGAATGATGCTGTGATGGTCTAACCCACGTCTACGCGTGCTAAAACGTCAACGTTCTGCCGCCCTCCGAAAGTATTGTAACTCTCGCTCGCCGTACTACAAACGACTGTTCAATTTTGCGAGTCGTAGTTATCGAAATTACAATCGTTTTCTCTATAATCGACACGTGAGACGTACGGAAGCAGCGAACCTTCGCACGAATCCGAAAAGTTTTTGTTCGTTTGACAACTCCAAACGGAAGGAATTCGGGTTACCTTGTTCCATGTTTCTCGGGAATGACTCGGCTAAAAGCGAAAGAGAAAAATGCGACTTGTTTGCTCGTCATTTCAAACAAGTGTTCCACGATTTCTCCGCTTCGCCGACACAAGTGCTGGATGCTACCGTTGGTATGCCACGTGATGTGTTTGGTTTCGATATTCCGCGCATTTCAGAAGGCATGGTGATAGCCGCAACACGCAAACTGAAGCTCTCGTTCGCCGCCGGACCTGACGGCATTCCGTCATCAGTTCTAAAACGTTGTGTAGCCAATCTCTGCCTTCCACTTGCGAGGCTATTCAATCTCTCGGCACAGCAATGTGAGTTCGCCTGTCTCTGGAAACTTTCTTATCTGTTCCCAGTGTTCAAAAAAGGAGATAAACGGAATGTCATAAATTATCGTGGAATCACCTCCCTGTGTGCCTGCTCAAAACTGTTCGAGATTATCATAAATGGTGCTCTGTTCGCACGCTGCAAAAATTATATCGATACAGAACAACACGGTTTCTACCCGAAGCGCTCCGTGTCCACGAACCTGGTGCAGTTCACTTCTAACTGTCTGCGATGCATGGATTCAGGATGGCAAGTCGATGCTGCGTATATGGATCTAAAAGCTGCATTTGACACGGTGGACCATAATATCTTGCTAGCCAAGCTGGAGATACTTGGCATCTCGTCAACTGCTGTGGATTGGTTCAGATCTTACTTGGTGAATCGCTATGTACATGTCAAGATTTACGCGTCGGAATCGGATGTTTTCTCAAACAACTCGGGAGTTCCGCAAGGCAGTAACCTAGGACCGCTACTATTTCTGATCTATTTAAACGACGTCGCCTTGCTGATACCATCAGGATGCCGCGTTTTCTATGCAGACAATACGAAAATCTACAGAATTATTAAAAGCCTCTCGGACTGCTGGGCTCTCCAGAATATGTTAGGTATTTTTGCTGACTGGTGCTCAAGAAATTTGATGAGTCTAAGCATAGAAAAATGTAACATTATTTCCTATCACCGAAAAATCGAACCAATCATGTTTGACTATGTTCTCTACGGACGCTGTCTTGCTCGTGTAGAGCACATAAAGGATCTCGGCGTTATCTTGGACTGCAGACTCAATTTCAGAATCCACTACAATGACATCATCTCCAGAGCTAATCGACAATTGGGCTTTATTTTCAAAAGTGCCGACGAGTTTCGTGACCCGCTATGTCTCAGGTCACTCAACTACTCGCTTATGTGATCCTTATTGGAATCAAGTTCAGTTGTTCAGTTTCCATGCTAGCTGGATCACTAGAATTGAATCCGTTCAACGCAAGTTTGTGAGATATGTTCTTCGTTTCCTCAACTGGCGTGACCCAACGAACTTGCCACCGTACGAGGAGCGTTGCCGTCTCCTGGGAATCAAGCCATTAGAGGTGACACGGACGGTCGCTCAAGCTATGTTCGCTGGAAAGCTGCTTACGGGTGACATTGACTGTCCAACACTGCTGTCACAGCTAAATATGTATGCCCCTGAGAGGTCTCTTCGTCAACGCGACTTTCTGTTTTCGGAACCATGGAGCCGGAATTATACACAACACGAGCCAATTCGAGCAATCAACCGGCAATTCAACAACTTTTTTACTTGGCCTTTTCCGTACCGTTGACCGTAACTATTTAGTTTAAGTTTTATTCATTTAGACAATAATTGTCAGTTGAATTTTTCAATACACAATAAACAGCAGTAAAATTGTCCGGTGCAGCCTCGCTTAACTACCCAAGTCTTCTTGTTATCATTCCAAAACTGGTTTATATATATATATATAAGTAAACTGCCGTATTGTACGCATAACGGTCCCACAATCTATAATGATAGCATAGAACATGGAACTTTTATGCGTACAATGACAGTAAATAAACGTGTCTAAAGATGGTTGAAATAGGTTGAAATGTGTCGAGAGTGGAGCGCCATTTTCTTGAATTCCCCTCGGTGTACATTATTATCCCGCATCGTAGACTTTACATGTTTTAAACTATTTTCTCCGTTCAAATGATAGCAAACCCAACTCTGACAATCCCACCCGAAACAATCGGAAGCCGGGAAACTATAACTGAAAACGTTTTACATCTTCCAGACTCACTTGCTAGACGATTCCGCCGCGGTGGGATCGCCAATTTTCCTCTGCTGCTCATCGTCGGAGCTGTCCGTCGATAGGTCAGTGTCGGTGGAACTTTGGCCATCACGTTTGCGCCCGTAGTATCGCCGAATGGGAATATCTGGTTCCGGTTCGATCAGAACAGGCACTTTCGGTGACGATGGCTCTTCTTTTTTCACAGATATGCTTGGATCCAGCGGGATCGTTGCGGGTGGAACCGGTGGTACCGGAACTGGCTGAGGTACGGAAGTGGAGGCGACTTCGACTTTGATTTGTGTTTTACGTGCCGGCGGTGGCGGTGATTTGGAACGACTCCGGCTGCTTCGGGAGGAATCGGAATCCGAACTGGAGGGTTTCCGGGTTATTTTTCGCGCCGGTACAGGCGACGACGAAGACGATGAGGAAGGTGATTTTCTGCGACGGCGATCGCTTCGGAAGCCTCGAGATCGAGGCGACCGCGAACCGGATCGGGAACGTCTTTTGTTGTATTTGGAATAGGTGCGTTTTTCTCGCGAGCGACTTCGGGATTTCCTTCGGCGCCAAGCCCGGGAACCACTTCGGCTGCGGCTTCTGCTTCGATCGCTGTAGCTTCGCGATCGTCGCTGATATTGAGCAGGCTTCCTGTGCTCTTCTTCTTTGGCGCTGATGCTCTTCAGTTTCTCGAGATTTTGTTTGACTTTCTGGGCGTACGAACCAGCTTTTGAGGTACTCGCTTGACCTTGACTATCTTTGTTAAAGCTAATGGATATTTTTGAATGAGGTTGCAGCTCGTCTTCGCCACCGAATGAGGTAATGTAGGTAATTTTCCCTGAATTGACGGGCGACGGTGACCGCGAACTGTCATTTGGATCATCATAGGTCCTAGGAACTAACTCTTCTTTCGCCGCATAACTTGGCGGACTGGTAGGCCTTCCGGCGAATTTCCTCTCTCTTTGTGCTCTACGTTCTCTCCTGCTTTTTCGTCCGCTGAACATGATCTTTTCCTGTTCCTCCTCTCGTGCTATCTTCAGTGCCTCCGCCTCATCCGAATCCTTCGTGAGGAACGAGTAGAAATCATTACTTTTCATCCCGTAATGTCTTCCACAGGCATTCATTTCGTGTGCCTGAGCGTTTCCCACTTTATTTATGTCGATTGACACGTCCATATCCAGGTCCGAATCTGAATCGCTTTTCATGCATTCATCGTACTTGGACGTAGCGGTAGATTGCTCGATGGCTGTTATCGTTTGGCTGAATGGAACCACTCCGCTAGGCTCACTGTCTTCGTAGGTATATCCAATTGCCACTCCACCGGATGCCTTCTTCTTCGACGAAGAAGCTTTCTGTTCCGCCTCGACCTGAGCATTAACTCCGAACTGCTCTTCCAGATGTAACTGATGAAGGAATTTCTCTTCACTGATTGCTAAAAGAGTGAGAATATTAATCATTCATAAGATCTCCGGAAATATTTCTATTGATAGGACAATCTCCAATCATGGATGCATAGTTACCCACCGAGAAACTCGTTCTGTGCAAGAACACGATACCGTTCGTAGTTCATGGATCGTTCTTCCAAATCCAGGACGTCATCTTCCACCGGTTGGTCCGGTTTGACCGTCACGGTTGGAATGTAATCCAGATGGGCCCGTACATCAAATCGATCAATCAAATTGTCCTTTTGACCTTGCCACGGCATCCTGTATCCGACGGGGACGAGACGCGATAGAAAACCAACAAATTAATCAACATCTCAATTCAAACCCACGGCGCGAACTCTAGTCATCAAATCAAACCCCATTTTCCACTGGCATTGTTACAAAACAGAAACTGGTTTCGATTGTGAAGGACAGAGAAAATAGGGTCCGATCTAGACTAGCCACCGCTGGGCACGTAAACTATTATGCAGTAGTAAAAGGGGTCACAACAGGAAGCATCAAATGGGACAGAGATGTAGAACAAAAGCAGGTATTTTGCTTTTGCAATATCACTTGCATGATGGCTGGATTCTCGGCAGCTGCAGCCACACTGGCCTCCAGATGGATCTTGCATTTGCGACTGTGAACTTGAAGAAACTGCGTTGGATCAGCTTTCTGTAAACAGAAAAAGGAACGAATGATATACGATTCTAGCGGCACTTTTCAAACAGTTTGATTGTGCTGAACATAGTGTCCTTTAAATACTTCTAGTTGAGTCGAATTCCAAGCAACTTTGTCCTAAATCGAGGATTTTTGAACAAAAGTCAATTACAAATTTTAAAACTCATGTACCATAAAATCCCTATAGCACTGTATTCGCACAACCCTCCTCTTGCTCGTTTGCCGCTGCAGATAAAATGTTTCACAACAAAATATAAGCAAAAAAAGAACCAAGATCTGGTTCCGTCTAGTTACAAACTCACTATTCGCTCGTAAAAATCCTGCCGCCGTTCGGCTCGCTTCCGGTAATCCACCAGCATCCCGCGGATCTTTTTCTCTTGTTTACGCGCCTCGTGCCACATTTTCATTGATTTTATTGCTTTCTAGATGTTGAAAAAATGATAATCACAATTTCCCGACGCGGCGCACAGCCCCCTATCTTCATCGATTGTATTTCTATGAAACCTCAATGTCAAAACAGCAAATTTTATGCGCAAAACACTCGAAACACATCAATGCTTCAATTAAGCCACTTTTCAAACACTTTTACCATATAAAATTTCAATAGGATTCAAATTTTATTTGAACTGAAACAGAGCACACCACTCTACTTTACAACCATTTTTGAAGTGCGGCTTCGGATTCGTCTGCGGTTTTGCGATAACTCTGCAGCACCTGTCAAAGTTCGACTCTTGCGGCGCGCGCTGCCGATGGGATCGGTTTGTTTATGCCCTCCCGATGGAACGACACCCGCTGGCAGCAGTGATGCCAGTTTTCCAGATGAGTGATTATCTTCTTCAATGCACGTGGTCATGCTTGGCATGCTCAGTTGTACACACTAAAGAGCCTGAATTTATAAATTCAGGCTCTTTAGTACACACCAACCCGCATAAACGCGAACCATAACTTTACCTTACCGAAAATGGTTAAAAATTGTTTATAATCCCTGCTAAACTTTAACTGAAATCGTCATGGAACTTTACATGAACGTTTGTGTGATAAAGTTTTAACCTTATGTATTATGGTTCTTTGGAAGTGAACCTTACAAATAATGGGTTGTTAAGAATCATTACCATTCAAAATAGTCGTTCTCTTCATACATTTTCGGAGAGAGGACTATATTAAAACCTTTTTACTTATGGTTTGAGAACTTTAATGGTAATAGTTATGGTAGCCAGTAAGGTCCATTAATGGTTTAGTATTATCGGTCAACTTTACGTGAAATATATCGCGAATTGGTAATCAGTAATTTACAGGCAACCAATTCGCGATATATTCCACATAAAGTTGATGGATGTCACAAAACCAGCTATGAACTAGGACAGGTCCAAGTATCAGCATCAATATCGATGGTGGAAATATTAAATATTTTAATATGTGTAATATTTGCGAATCTTATACTTAGTCTGACAGTTGTTTTGTTTTGTTTTTGACTATTTTTGGTTTGAAGTGTACATTAGACATTCTTTTAATAAAAAATGGATTTCACACCAGATGCAAGTCATTCTTTGATGATCTTGCTGGCCACCGCCACCAAAATCCGCTCTTTGTTCTAAAAAATTCGGCATTATTTGTTAGCTGATCTCAGTGCAAATAATTGGTCGCACTTCTGTTCCTGAAAATAGTCATTAATTTCCACGAATTCTTCATCGTCTGCGAACCAATGTGCTGTCCTCCGATGGAACGGAAATCGACTGACTACGCCTCCCCTGTCAACGGAGTCCCAGAGTGATGGTTCCGTGGTCGTATAACACTCGATTTTCCATGAGCCTGCAACTGGCAAAATTTGCTGCTGGGGGAACGTCCAGTACCGTTTTTATCATGAAAAGTCGAAGTCGAAATCGATCAGAGCTATCGAAAATGAAAATCTAGGCAAAAATGAGAGATGCAGTAAACATAAACAACAACGGTGAAACTTCATTGAGTGTATGTGTTAAAGCTACACTGTAATTTTTTTTTACTTTGTTTACTTTGTTTGTTTACACTGTTATTTTTTTTTACTTTGAAGCTGTTCGCTTGACAGTTAATATCATTAATATTTATACTAAAAATTATAATAATTACCAATTTGAGCAATTTTTACACCAAATATTACTGCAGATCAAGTTGTACTTCCCCTAGGCTATGAACCTTACCAACTACCATAACCATTACCATTAAAGTTCTCAAATCATAAATAAAATAGTTCCAATATACACGGTAACCGCAAAATACCCAATAATGACTACAAAGTAAGCATTTTCGAGGGAGACTGGGACTACCCATTAAATGAGTAAAAATATTACCCATTTATGAGTATTTGTTACTCAAAAATGAATACTTACTATTTGTTTTTGTAGTTGTAATTACTCATAAATGGGTAAAATTTTACTCATTTAATGGGTAGTCCCAGTTTCCCTCGAAAATGCTTACTTTGTAGTCATTATTGGGTATTTTGCGGTTACCGTGTAATTACTTTCCCAAAAATGTATGGAGAAAACAAGAATTTGGAATGGTAATGGTTCTTAACAACCCATTATTTGTAAGGTTCACTTCCAAAAAACCATAATACATAAGGTTTAAACTTTATCACACAAACGTTCATGTAAAGTTCCATAACCATTTCAGTTAAAGTTTAGCAGGGATTATAAACAAATTTTTAACCATTTTTGGTAAGGTAAAGTAATGGTTTGCATTTATGCGGGAACTGCTCATTTGTTAATAACTTGTTGAAATTTGTTTTTTTTTTAAGTAATTGATAGATAAGGATCATAGTTTCCTATAGATATGCAAAGAGAGAGCGGCGCCGGTGGTGTAGTGGTCAGCGTGATTGCCTCTCACCCCAGCAGGCCTGGGTTCAATCCCAGTTGGCGCCGCCGGGATGTTCTGAGGCATTGTCGTTGGTCCCCGGTTCATGAGTTGATGGGTCGATAGGTAGGGTCCAGATGTGGGAGCTGCCTTCCTGGCGTCGGTAGCATTGGTGACCAATGAGATGTGCAGCGAGCATTTCTCACTTCATTTTTACAACGCAAAAACAAATACAGTTTATTGCTAGAATTAAAATCTACTCTTTCTACGTATCTATAACAAGCTTAAACCACAGACAAACAGACATAACACTTGCAAGTTGTTCGTCGAACAAGCATTTAACGGACACTTTAAAAGTATCGTAGTTGGTAGTACCGCCACCTGTGGCGCGCATAGTCAATTCCCTTGCGTTTGACGTTTACACACTAACGCCATCTGTTCAGTGTAGTGCCCACCAGAGTGTACTCAACAGATGGCGGTAATGTTTTAGTGACGATGTTTTACAGTGAGAAATATTCAATGTGTTATGTCTGTTTGTCTGTGCTTAAACTCTATTATATCTACTGCTTCACACGCAGAGAAAACTATCGTCGAAACAAAATTATTTGAGGTAAATTTAAACGTAAACTCAGTTTGTTCTGGCCACAAACATAAATTAGGTTTATTTCAAACGTATTCCATGTTTGAAAGTCATGTGAAATCAATGTTTAAAATAAAAATAATGTTACGTTTATTTCTAAAATATTCGTGTTGAAAATAAACGTATTTGTTTGACAGCTATGCGAGCAATAATAAATATGTTTATTTTAAACATGCTTCTCATGTTTAAAATAAAGATACATATTTTGAAATTATTTTAGTATTTGAGTGCAGGTTTGCAAAGAAAAAATGATAAAATAAGATCTTCGGGCAGGGCATCTAAATTCCTGCTCTTTTTCGGGTGCGATTAAGGGTGACCTGTTGGTATTGGGGTCATGGTCCGGGATGCGAAGACCCGTCGGGGTGGGTGTCTGGGGGTTCCAGTTCAGTGGAGCCGGTGCAAATTTGTGTTATTAGCGTCGTTTTGCCTTTTCTGCCTCGGGTTATGCCACTGGTCCTCATACCGGTTTCTTTCTATGTTCGGTGTCGGAGGAGGATCCGGAATGGATTCGGAATGGATGGACGTTTTCTGTTGAGGTTGAGCAAAGCTGGGGCAACTTTTTCCGAATGTAACAAGAAGGAAATAAAAAGGCATGACACCCTGCATGACACGCTAAAAACCGTTTACCCAAGTCCTATATTGTTGAAATAAACATGCTTTTGAATTTAATTCAAATATAAAATATTTTAGTTTTAAACATGCTTTCAATTTACTTTGAATAATTCAAATGTTTAGAGTATAAACATTTATATTTTTGTTTTAAATGAACAAAATTGGTATCCGTGCAAAAAGAACTATGTTTCGTCAACTGTGTGCAAAGTTATTAGAAAATGAGCAGTTCGTTACTAAAACCACAAACGAAGTGACAGACGACTAACTGGCGAAGAAATCCATTAAAATAATGTGGTTCACTGTAATAGAATTTTCTTGGAAGCTTGTGCCATCGTCCACCAGATGGGTTAGTTTTTTTTGTTTTGATTTGAACAAAGTTGATTTTGTGTACAATGATTCTTTGACAGTGTGCAAAGAGTGTATCGTTTTGTCATTTTTTTTTATGCATTTCAGTTTTGAGTAGAGTGAAAGAGATAAAACCAAAACATTCTAATACATTTGGTGAAAATGCTAGTACAATCCAGTAGTAGCATAGAGGTAACTCTAAGACCACTGGGTCCCGAAGAAAATCATTATTATTTTTGGCTCACTCAGTACCAGAACAACGGTCCCAAGCAGTCCCAAGCTATTTCACTCACCCCTGCATGTTCTGCATGAATCCACACACCCCTGATGTTATCTGTCAATTTTTCATAGCGAATCAAAACAAACATAGTGTAGTAATAGAATTTCAACTAGAATAGGGTACGTTAATCGTTTGCTTGGGACCAATAGGCTACTAAAGTGGTGAGCCAATTTAAAATCGTTAGTTTCGTATTGATTGTTGGTAGTAGTGTTGCCATGTGGTACAATCAACAATCAATACGAAACTATCGATTCGAATTTGGCTCACTACTTGACTAGCCTATTAGTCCCAAGCAAATCGATTAACGTACCCCATTCTAGTCAAAATTCTAGTACTACACAATGTTTGTTTTGATTCGCTATGAAAGTTTGACAGATATAATGAGGGGTTATTGGATTTTCCTATGTTTCGAGGGGTGAATCGATTAGCTTGGGACGGAAGATAGTACCAGAGCTGAGCCAAAAAGTTGAGCACATTTCTTCGGGACCTTCTGGTCTTAGAGTTACCTCTATGGTACAATCAACAATCAATACGAAACTAACGATTTTAAATTGGCTCACCACTTTAGTAGCCTATTGGTCCCAAGCAAACGATTAACGTACCCTATTCTAGTTGAAATTCTATTACTACACTATGTTTGTTTTGATTCGCTATGAAAGTTTGACAGATAACATCAGGGGTGTGTGGATTCATGCAAAACATGCAGGGGTGAGTGAAATAGCTTGGGACTGCTTGGGACCGTTGTTCTGGTACTGAGTGAGCCAAAAATAATAATGATTTTCTTCGGGACCCAGTGGTCTTAGAGTTACCTCTATGGTACAATCCAGTAGTAGTGGTGTTGCCATGTGGTACACTGAAAAATTGAAATAGCAAATCTTTCCAAAGTTTTCGAGCCGCTCCATCTGTCACTTCGTTTGTGCTAAAACTGTGTACACTCAAAGATAAATTA